CATAATCAGCTACCCAGTCGTCAAGACTTTGTATTGGTTCCCTGCGCCATGCCACTTCCAGCATCAAGTCGTACATGACGTAGTTCTGGTTGATACCTTCCGGAGTCAATCCGATACCGATCATTGTACTGTTCACTCTATCTCTTGCTAGATATACGTCTTTGTTGATAGCTTGCATATTACCATGCATTCCCAATGTTCCGCCGAAATTGTGTAGCATACACCAAATAAACGGTTGACCATAATACATTTGATAGAGATCGTATTGAGGCCACTGCTCCGACTGCAGATCTAACACTAACATCCTGCCTTCTGGGACGGCAGTAAGGAAACTTTGTACTCTTTTCAAAGGCCACTGAATGGGGTTATGAACAAACATCCAATTCTGAACTAACCAGACTGCGTTATTATTGAATTTCGATATCGCCGAGAATATAGCAGATGCTGTATCTCTCACCAGACTTGTGGACCACGGTTGCACTTGTATTTCATTGAAAGGATCAGATGAAAAAATATCACCGACACCTAAACCACTGTTCATTTCTCTCAGAAACATTTCCCCTATTTGTGTGAACAGAGGTTCTCTAGGATTGATAAATAAGCCACAGCAATAATCAGGGCTGAATTTATTCCATTTTTCCACCGAGTAGAATGTGATGTTAGGATACAACCTTGTAAATGCTGCCGGTACGTGACCGTTGAACGCGGGAAGGACAGGTATTATACCAAGCTTGAACATATAACTGACTACATTATCTTGTATATTCTGCTGTCGGTCGTGCCATAACTTAGTGAGTGGTCCTCCCCAACCGTGGACGTTACCCATGCGAAGCCACGAAAGGAACGCCGGTCCTGTAAAGTATTCGTTGATTTCATCATCGGTCATACCCAACTTCCGATAGATTCGGTCCCAGGCGGCCTCTTGTGCAATCGGTGCTAGTGCCAAGTTGATACCATTCAGTGCCATCCATTCGACGTGATTTATCCATTGGTCTACCGTCCACCATACAAAGCTATACGATGCGGTGCACACGTTCTGGTA